CTCAATCAGCTGTATAGATGAAGTAATGGGAATCCACTCAATTATCATTGCTCTTATCTCTAAAACCAATCAATGTCAAATCTTCCAGAAAGATAATTAAGGTCATTCTGCTACAGCAATAGGTGCAACATTTGTAGAGCAATACAGCTCTAAGAATCTAAATACAATGGGTAACACCTGGCCTGTGTCAACATTTCCAGCTTCAAAAAATGTTTGGTTGAGATGTACTGTAGGTGGTCCAGATTCAGTATAAGGTTTATGTAGGTTTACGGAAGTGTTGATCAACAGTCCAGGAGCACAATATGTAACTAACAGGTACAGGTACAGAAGGGGGGTGGACAACAGAGGATACAGGAGGAGGAAAATATTGAAGGTAGGGGGTTCTTGTTCCAGATCACCTGAAAAGACCAGATTGGAGCTAAACATTTAAACCTTGTTAAGAGAGCTTGCTATTCTATGTTATTAGGGAGGTCTGATTTTCTGTGTAAACAATCCCTCAGTTAAAAACTCACTCTCCTGGTTTGTGGGTGTATTTTTAGAAAAGGGAGACATAACCCCATTTGTAACAATTCACAAAGGAGCTAACAGCACAGTTCCCATTCTGTGTTTTGCTACTTCTAACCATCATTACATTAAGCCCCTTCCATGCTTGCTTAGGGTTGCCTACACATAACCTATTCTCAACTCTGTCTTTGAAATCCTTTTTTGGCTTCCTCCTTTTTAACCTAAACTCCTTATCTTTCTCTCTAACAACAGCAGTTTCCCCATTTAAAAAGTGACTGTTCAGTCATTCAAACACATTTTCAGTCCTTAGACATCCAAGGTTTGTTATTAGCAAATATTTTCAATAGAGGCAATGACAGTACTTTGACAGAACTGGATGCTATTACATAGTCAACTTTTGCAGGTCTCCCCACAAGTCAAAAAACACTTGACAGTTTGTGGTATCAAAACAGCACATACTGTAAGCTCTTCCTTACTCTCCACTGTTCATATTTGCACAGATTTAAGTACAAGTTTCTCAGGTTTCACATGCTGCATGTATGTAGGGTGCAAGTGAGAAATATTATGGTCCGATTTCAGAAAAGATGGTCTGCACACTACCTTGCATGCATCTTCAATATTTCGATAACACTAATCCAAGACATGTCTCATATGAGTAGGGGAGGTCGCATACTGCTGCAAGGTAGGAAGATATACTAAAATTGAAAGAGTATTCAAATCCCCAAGCAGTTAGTGATAGTGAAAGTGGATCATTAAAGCTGGTAGTAATCTTTTCACCAGCTTTCTTGTTGTTTGGTCCTGGCACATGAAGTAGGGTAAATAAAATGGCCTCAGTGACACAGTAAGAATCTAATTTTCTTTAGTACATACAGTACCTGCTCTAACACATTAAAATGGGTAACCCAGGTGTTGTAGACATAGATGCACAGGCCCCCGCTGATGAATTTCCACTATGCTGTTTTGTCACAATGTTTACATCATTGTTGTTGTGATACAGTAAATCCATGTTTCAAATTATTGAAACATTCAGATTTCAGTGAAGCAATCAAGATTACTTTGTTTTGAAGTCTTCCTCATTGCAATAAACAAATTTCAAGGGATCCAAACTTGACTGATTTCACTCAATGTATTTTTAAGAGACTGGACAGTTGAAAAAGTAATATCTGGAAGTGGAAGTTGACTTTTTCCTCTTTTGCAGTCTATTCATAGCTTCACATGTACAGTAGTCCCAAGATTCTTGAACTTATAGTATTTTTTCTTCTGACATTTGTTTAAAAAGAAACATGAACATAGCAAATAGTCAAGGACCGAAAGCAGGAGTTCTTGGAAGTAGAATGGGACTAATGGTAGTAGGAATATCTTATACTCTCCAACGCCATTGCTTTCGATAATGATTGCAAAGTTTTGAAATATACAGGTTCGTATCACAACAGTCAAAATGGACAAAATCAAAAATATCATGAAATGCTCTACCTTCATACTTGAAACACACTTAAATCCAAACCAAAAACAAAACTGAGCAATTTTAATTAAAAAACAAACAGCTTACACAAGTGAGAGTACACAAGAGTACAATATGTAGGACTTATATTATTAGATAAAATCATCACTTTTATATTTTGGTAGGGTCCTGGTTGTACAACTTGGGTGTCTTAATAATTGAATTTGCAGTAACTCTAGTATGGGCAAATGTTTCTACCACTTATATGTAAGCTCTACTATCTCCTCTAATGTTTATATGTTTAAATTTTAAATAAACATTCATGTCTATTTTGAAAGTAATTAGGCATTTTCTTCCAAGAATGGTTTTGGCTTGAAGATGATCTGTAGGATAGTTTGCCAGAATGTTTATTACAACAGTTGGGATAATGAGAGGGTCTGTGATTACCTACCAATTCTCTATCAATTTGTGTTGAAGTAAACTGTATAAATGTTATGAATATACTGTACGTATTTTTATCTATTCTTGCAATGATGGCTAATTAAAAGGTATACTTTTGCCTTGTTATAGTATCGCATGCTTTAAAATGAATGTACTTGTCTGTTTCCTGTTTTGAATAACTTATGCTGAAGGCGACATATTTTTGTTTGTTTACAGAAACACAACAGTTTTCCAAAGGGGGCATTTTTTCAGCCTCTTCCATTCTAAAACACAAAAATGTGTATGGAAAGAAATTAGTTGTACTGTCAGCTTCAGTCCTGTAACCTTAGTTTCTTTTACTTGGGAACATGTGTTAAATTATTTATTTAGCAAATACCTTGGCAGAAAAAAAAAAAATAATTTAAAAATGTTGTACAAATATTTCTCTAAGACTTCCAAAATATTTGGTATTTTTAAGAAAAATCACTTTCACAGCAGATGAAAATTCCAGCTTGCTGGATGACTTTTAACTTCATAGTACTGTACATACAAGCTAAAAATGACAAGGTTAAAGAAATAATCAAACATCTCCAGGAAAGAAAATACTGGTTCTATTCAACAGGCTTAAGGTGTGTATGTTTGTTGTTATAGTGAGGTTCATTTTTTAATGAACTCACTCATATGAACTAGTCTCAGGATGAGTAATATGAATGAAAATAGTTTTTAATGGTTTATATCAAATTGTCAAGTCATTTATTGAGCAAAAGAAATAGTTGTGCTTGCCTTTTGCATTTTTACCTGGCTAGAATTATAAAGTACTGTAGTGTTAATAGTGGGTTAGTGACTAACCAAATATCCTGATTATGAGATTGCAAATGATTGAACTAATATTTTTGTGTATTTCTGCAAAAAAATTTTGGGAGGACCCTTTCTTCTGGGAATAAACTCAAATTGTAAGCAGAACAGTTCAAAGCATTATTTTCCCATGCAGTTTCCCGAGGTTCATACATTGCAATCATCTTAATGGTTATGATTATTAGCCCCATTATTATGTATAGAATGGAAAGTAAATGCAACAGTGCACGTAATAATAGTAATAGAAACCACAGCTGTTTGAGATATGCCTAATATACAGTATAAGCAAGTTCTCATTATTGTATGTTGTGTTTAATCTAGTCTTCATCTTTTCCCTGCAGCAAACATTAGTTATCATATTATTTAGAAAAATAGAGCACTGTACAGTGCAACATTGTAATATACATTTACAGCATAAAATGTAAACTGTGTGATAAGTGTTCTTAGAACCCCACATGATTATGAGAATATATAAGCAATATATTCCTACTCATTTAACTACTATTAAATCCTGATTCTCTCAGTAAACTGTCATTGATTTTACAGCAATAAGCAAAATACATGCAAAAAATAAATATATATGCAAAAAAAAAGATTTTGCTTTTTCAAATTATTAAAGTTACAATAATTGTGTAATATTGTCCCCTAGGTTGTTTTGCATGAAACATTATTGCATACTTTCCTCAAGTATTTCACATGATGCAATATAATGGCAAGGGATCTTTTGGTTGATACAAAAATGCTAATTCCTGGTGGAGGATGAGATACTTTACCAATATGTTGTTCTAGCATACAATTTAAAATTTGCTTCCAAAAGGTTAAGTTCTACCATAGACAAATAGGCATGTAACTATAAGGATTCCAGAGTTTTTTGGATAATCTCCAGATTACAGTATTTATTTGATAACCGTGAGTTTGATCTAAAACTCAATATGTATTGAGCTCTTGGTAACAGCAATTCACAAGCTCTGTTTACATAATTGCTTTGTCAGTGCCTGAATATAATTTAATAATTGTATCCCATTTACAGCTGCTAAGAGACAGACACTGTAGCATAGTGATAGAATTGTTTTGCTGAATAAAAATGAGGGTTTGTCAGTTAGATTTTTCTCTACCTAACATAACAGAGCATTCCTTATCATTTTGTTGGACCCAGATTAGTTTCTGAAAAAACAAAAACAAACAGGCATTCGGATTTCATGGTCTGGTTTAAATAAGTATAGGCACACTAAAGGCTACATTATCAGATAAGAGTCAGCATTCAAGGACATTTTGTTGCTGTAAATTATCCGATTGTGCAATATTTAGGCAAACCATTCCCTTTATATTTCACAGAGTGTTAAACTTCCACTCAATGTAGTGAGTCCTAGGCACATTTTTCAAATGTCTTCCATTGGTGCGTCAAATATACATTTCCATATTCTCCCCCTGAGGGCAATGAGATTGGTGCTAAGAAGTAAAGACACAACTAGCAATTTGTAATTTGTACGTGGCAATTCAACATTAAAAAAATCAAACACAAGTCATAGGAAATATCTGATCAAATAAAATCTCCGTCATATATTAACAATTTATTACAAAATGTGTAGAATTCTAGGTACAACTAAGGCAAAAGTGTTCCAGAGTGTGACAAATATTCTGCCTCTTTGCAATTATATATAAGGTTGGGAGAATGACTTGTGATGGTTTGTGTGGTCTGTATACTAGATCAAGTTCCTGCTGTGGTTTTGCAAAAATTAAGTGTGCGTCATCCTAATTTTTCTTTCTTCTGCTCCTGCAGGGATACCAGAGAAGGTGAATGACAACAGAAGGCGTACCCAGCAGACAGAAAATGTTGAAATTATGGACAGATCTGGCACACACAGTAGAAAGGAAGCCAACATTTTTACTTTTAATTTGATTTGTGTGATCAGTTTCCTTTTAAATGTCTGGTAACATAACTGACATACAGTGTATAGTACTGATTACTAAGCCTGCAAAAGAAAGGCTTGTTTTAACAAGTAGTGCCAAGATGGCATGACAGCATGCCTCTTCTATCAAAGATAACAGGAAAACGTAGGAATAACATTATGAAACTATAATTTATTTGAAAAAAGTCTGGAATACATGTTTTCTGTCTTGAATGAAAATATATAAATAATCAGCATGTTGTTCTCTTCACAGTGTAAGAATAAATTCTTCAATAACACTAAAATATCCTGTGCCATTGACTGTATCAAGCACTCACTAAACTAGTTATCTCACTAGTGGCAGACACTTATTTCCACTTATTTTTAATATCCATGTAACAGCATTATCTTTAAAAATGTATTGTTTTAACTTTTTATGTAATTTATTTAGTAACCAAGCTTTCAGTTCAATATTATTAAGTAGCATATTTCATTTAGACCTCACAGAAAGTTTTTCAAATAAAAAAAAAAGTTTTTTAGCCAGATATTAAAAGCCATCTGTTTTTGCTGCTGTGCGATAATGAGGAACCAAATTCCAAAGTAAGAGCTATTATATTTTTTTAGAAATTATTTTGGAGTTTTTTAAAAAAGATTTAAAAATGCATCACAATTACCACTGAAATGCAAGATTGCATATAAAGTAAGTAAAAAGACGAAACTTCTAACAGCCATTTATTTGGCTTTTGTCTCAGTGTCAATCCTCCCTGACACACCTAATCACATTCTTGTTTAAAACCCAAGATTTTTTCTAACACAGAAGGTTAGCACATGGATCTACCTATCTTCCAAAAAGAAACAGTAAAGTTATTTTTTAATTTTTTATTGTTATTTTGAATTCAGTTAATTTCTTTCAAGTTTTCTCTTTCATAGGGTTTCATATTTTGTAAGTGCTGTTACTAATCCATTACATTTTCTTTTCTGTTCTGTATAAAAAAAATATAGATGCCTATTTCTACAGTGACAAGCTACTCATATTTGGGATTTAAAGAACCATTTCAATTCTGATGTTGCATTCAGTGCATTTACTGAAAGAAAGGTTTCCCTTGCTCCATTTTTTTTTAAATTGTTGGATCCAGCATTGTAAGAGCTTCTCTCAAACAATCCTTTAGCTAATGGCAGTCGTGGATCATAGTATGCAAACAAAGAGATAATTGTGGCATGTAATCATATATTATATTAACAACTATATAATGAGCCTAACAAAATTTAAAAAAATCATGCTGTAATTTCTGTCCACAATTCTCTTATTCTGCTCTAAAAATTAGAAGAGCAAATTAAAAATATAAAGTAGATCAGGCTGGTCCAGACAAGGGAGTTAACTGAGTTGCCGATGGGGCCAGGAAAGTCCCTGTGGTGTATTGCAATTGATGGAGTCCTGTTAAGACTGTGTGTAGAATAGTTGATACAGTAGAAGCCTTTTTATATATAATGTTTGGCAGTTTACTAACTGAAATCCTCTAAAAACCAGCAATTTCTCCATAAGCTTAATTTTCTTACTCTCCAGGAAAATCTGTGGTTCTATCCAGCTTGAATCCTCTGCCGTCTTTCAGTAGTTCTGGATGCTGCTGAGAGTGCAAACTCAGTTATTGTGCAACTTCTGCAATAGTTCAGACAAATTATGTCATCTTTGTTCATTTTTTTACTTGTTCTTTGTAAGCTTTAGTGTTATTGATTATGTGATAACATATGTAAATCTTGAGTAACCAGCATATTTGATTATCCTGTATCTCTCATTCTGTGGATATCAGGTGGCAATTTTTTATTGTAGTTGGATTGATGGTTTCATACACAGCAGTACCTCCCGCTGGTGGACCACACTTAAACAGCAGTTGTGCCTGTTGTCAGGTAGCCATTCATATTCCCTACACATGTTTCTGAGCCTGGTGTTAAAGTATGAATCAGCTATGTCACCTGATCTTAGTGGAAGCTTGCATTTGTGTACAGTTCTCTGTCAGTGCAAGTTGTCAATCAACACAATGGTTTGACAAGCAATTGTAGATTTCAAACTGAAGCATACAAAAGGAAAATTGAGATTCTGTTTTAACAATGATAATCATCAGTGGTTGAAGATTGCCAGAAAGGGTCTGTTACACTTCTCCTTACATTGCATTTGCATCTAGTTTGGAACAGAATGTCTTTCATTTAATTTACAATGCAATGATGGTCAATAAGACAGTGTTGGGAAAGAACAGCCACCAGTAGAAAGTTGTATCTTTGTTGATTTGTCTATTTATATGGCTGTCAATTCATTCTGTTAGATCTCCAATAAATACTGTAATAACTTGAAATTATTTTAAATGATTTTATTATATAAAATAAAGAGTAGTAAAATAACATCTAATTGAGAGTTGGTTGATGTTCTTCATACTTCTTTTTATTTATGGCAAGTGCTATATTGTCTCAGAACAAAATATGCATTTTGTTAATAATGTAAATTTGTAATTTGTACATTTGTAATGTACAAATCTGTTAATATTTTTGTCATTGTTCAAAAACTGCTGATGTGCACTAGTCTGGTGCATTTACATGTACAGGTTATTTATGAAAAGCTTAGGTCAGAACAGCAGCAAGTGAAATAAACTTCAGCAAACAAGTAGTTGAATACACAATATTAGTTTTGAATGGTTATTGCAATGTATTTAGTGACACTCTTCAATCACAAAATAATATGCATTAACCATATCTGCAAACAAAATGCAATATAAATTACAATGTATTTAATTGAGATGGATCTCACTGATCGACATAAAACACTGTATAATGTTAAGGTGAACATAAAATTATCATTAAATTAATTAACTGCTTGCATGTATTTATAACCCTCAAGAGAATATATCTTCAAAAATTGCTTGCGTCTAAGAGACTTTGTGGATAAACCTCTACCAGGTTTGCAAATCTGGACACTGTAATTTTTACCCATTCTTTGAAAAATTGCTCAAGATCCCTCCCTATTGGTGAAAAGCAATTTTTAACTCTGGCCACTCCAAAACATTGTTTTGTTTTGTTTTTGGTGCACTCCAGTGTGGCTTTGGCTGTATGTTGTATGTCTTGGGTCGTTGTTCTGTTAGGTCCCAGGTCTCTTGCAGACTGCAGTAGGTTGTCCTCCAGGATTTTAATGCAATTTGCTGAGTCATTTTTGCCTCCCATTTTCATAAGACTTCCAGGACCTAGTGCAGCAAGAAGCCCCATAACATGATGCCGCCATCATCATGCTTCACAGAAAAAAATGTCCTTAGGATGATGTGCTGTGTTACCAAACGCCAAACATAGCAATAAGTGTTGATGTCAAAAAGGTAAATTTTGTTCTCATCAGACAAGAGAAACACCTCCCACTTGTCCACTCTGAGCTCCCACATGCCTTCTGGCAAACTATAGTTGGGATTTGATGCAAGTTTTCTGCACTCTCCCATGAAGCCCAAATTTGTAAAGCAGCTGTGCAATTGTTATATCCACAGTTTCACCCAACCCAGCCATAGAAGACTGGAAATCCTTTAGAATTGTATTAGATACAGTTTATTTTTGAGGATGCCCAGTTCTACAGAGATTCACAGCTGTGCCAGATTTTCTCCATTTCTTTATAATGGACTTTACAATGTTCAGGGGTATATTCAATGCCTTAGGAATTTTCTTATATCTGTCCTCTGATAGGTGCTTTTTAATAACCCTATCCTGGAGTTACTTTTAATATTCCTTTGTCTACATGATGTAGTTTTTGTTGGGAGCTTTAATAATCAACTGTGGGACCTTCCAGAAATAGATGCATTTAACCTGAACTCATGTGAAGCACCTTAATTGCGCAGAGATGGACTCCATTCAAACAATTATGTGACTTCGGAACACAATTGTTCTTTCACCATACCTTGGTGGAAGACATTTATGTTTGAGGGTCATAGCAATGAGATTCACAATATGGGGGCGGGGTGCGGCAATAAAGAAATATATTGTAATATCAAATGGAAAAAATACACTTTTGAAACAAGGATACCATACTCCTGCAACAATATATAGATCACAAATGATTTGTGTACCCAAAGAGTTCATAGGAACAAGTAATAGGTTAATTCCGTGCTGAAAAAAAGAAGAGAGAAGTTTCATTTCACACCTCTTTACACCTATTCTGACTTCACACCTCTTGATTGGCCTCTCTTTCTGTTCCCTGCTCCCGCCTCTCACTCCTCCTCCCTCCCAGGCTTTGTTCTCCCAATACATTACCTTTGGCTACTGCCTTGTCTCTCTCACACTTGAAGAAGGCTCCACGGCTCCACGCCACATTGTGTTTTCTCTCTTCTTTTTTTCAGCATGGAATAAACCTATTACTTGTTCCTTTGCAGCTGACGCAGCTACCCACCTGAACTACTAAAGAGTTCATATATACATTTAATCAATTAAAAGTTTAAATACCTCTTCTGAAATTTCAGTTAAATAGTTTAAATAGACTTGAACCTTTCTTTGAAGCTTACGTGCTGGGAGGACAATTGAAAAATTTTAAGATTTACATTTAAAAAATGTTTAAATGTAAATTTAAACATTCTCCTGTATTTTTTCAAGGTGAAATACAATTGACTTATTCTGAGAGCACATAATAGAATATACTCTTTTACCTGTTTCAACTGACCTTGTAGCTGCTAGGATAGACGCAGCTTATCTAATTATACAGACATTTTAGAAAGAGGCAAAAAGCAACAAAGATAGAAGGACAGCAATAAATATATTTTTTGCTCTCTGTCTGTAATGTTTGCATGATTGTTGAAAGGGTGGTCATGTAAAGGTCACGGTTCTATGGCTTGGTTTGGCCTTTTGGAGCTTGTGAATCTTATGTGGGAGTAGTCAGGCCCCATCCCAATGGCCTGGAGCACCTACTGCTCCCTTGGTTGGTATGATCCCTGCCTAGAAATATGGGTTATTAGATTAACTGCTACACTGGCTGCTGGCTCTCCAGTTGAATGTTTCCTAGCACCACCACCTGACAAACTGTCTTGCAAACAAATCCTGAAGGTTTCTGCCTGACCTTTTTGTGGGCTATGATGATGGGTAAGATGCTCGGCTCTGCAACCACACAATGGTTTCAGCAAACACCGGTGTTAATTCTGACTTAACCACTAAAATGGAGGTTCTCTTAAGCCAAGTGCAGCAAAGCCATCTTTGGGTCTATAAGAACTCTGAAATCTATGTGTTGGGCCTTGCTTCATTACCTTGGCCTTGCCTTACATACTTGTTGTGCCTCTCATCCACCACCACTGCCATATCTGTTTGTCTGCTGTGACACAAGCCTAATCTCTGGCAGAAGGCTTCCCCTGGGTAATGCCCACAATAGAATACTGTGCATAAATAGATAAAATACCATAAACTGTTTTGTCGCTGAGGTTAAACACATTATGCAATAGGTATGAAGATGATCTTGCCTCCTAGGGAACACCATAGACAAACATTGCTGAACAGAAATGTAATTGCTAAAAGAAAGTGGAGCCTGGAAGCCTGTATTGTGATTACAACTTCAGAAAAAAACTAAAACCATTCTCATTAAAAATGGCTGCTAGAAGTTAAATCTTTGTGTCACTTCAATGTTAAGATAAGAAAAAAGAATTGTCTGTAAGGAAAACGAGAAATTATGTGAATTGGCATGTTATCTATATTCTGCTATAATTTTACTGAATATCAAATCTTAATAATCAGACCAATTATGGGATCAAAATGCAATCTACACAAAGACCAGGCTTGATTGAAGCTAACATAAAAATATTAAAGTGTCTGGGTTAAAAGAGATTGTAGTACAAAGCTGTAAAATAAAATTTAAAGCTTGGGAAGGCCAGGCCTAGCACAGAGATGTCATTCTATAGAATGCATATTCTAATTTCCTTTCCATACAGAATTCTAGAATGTAATCTAACTATTTACCCTAAGTAAGAGATAGAATTGTACAATTAAAAATTGTAACTGAGCAAGCACGTGCATTTTATAATGGAGACAAGGGCTTGAAGAGAAATGGGGAAGTAAAGCCAGCAGTTCAGGTTATCAACTGCCTATTTAAAAATGGTATTAAAGTTGTTTACCATTTTATTATATAGTAAAATAATATGTAAAAAAGTGTGCAAAGAACGATATACAATATTAATGGCAACAGTGGTAGCAATTTCAAAGACAAGGCAAACAAAATATACTGATGGAAAAAAGAAACAACACCTCCTCCTCCACACTCTGGCCCTCCCGTCTTCGTGGAACAGGCTGAAGAGTGACATCTGTGAAGAGTGACGCATGGAGCCTCACTGTCCTTTCACTGATGTGGGCATTGTCTGCTGGCAGTTTCAGCAGCAGTACGGGTGGCAGATCGGAAACAATCTCTCAGATGGACCAGTCTGATGTATCGGTCCTGCTCTGATGTGGTCACTCGAGGGCAACCGGATCTTGGATGGTCATCTGTCCTGCCAGTCTGCTGAAACCTTCTCTGCAGTCAGGACACAGTGGAGTGGCTTACTCCATAGAGTCTGGCAACGCTGGCACATGACATGCCTGGTTGCAGCATGCCAATGGCCCTCTCCCTTGCTTCTAGTGACATTAGAGGCATTATGGAATGCACAGAAAACTGACTAAGTGTGGCCTTTTTCTTGCAGTGACCTAAGCTTTGAATTTTAAAGGTGATCAGATCTGGCATTGTTCCACCTGGACCTTGTTGGGTAAATGTGAACCTAATGAGCTTTTGTGTGATTGGCAGGTTGTAATGCCTCACTGCACAAGCTGTATTGCTGGTCAGAGGGCTTTAAACAAATTGACAACTTTTTGTGAAAGTATATAAGCTATAACTATAGTATTCTCATTCCAGAAAATGTTGCTTTTCTTTTTTTCCCCCATCAGTATATATTAATATAGGCACCTCTGATAAAAAATAATAAATAGCAAAAGGGTTAACATAAAATATTTAACATTTTTTAATAAATTCTACCTGATTCTGGTGAATAAATCGTGATATATGCCTTCTGTCAACGTGAAAGCAAAAGCACTTTAATATATAGCTACTCAACCAAACAAATCATTGAATTTCTTTTCAATACTATGGATATAATGGCTTTTTTAACATCCATCAAAAAGAATTTCCTCAATGGCCATATGCATTATTTAAAGCAAACAAGAATCAAACTGGGGATAAAAGGTCAAATAAACATCAAGAAGGATGCCATCAATGCCAGGAAATGTACAGTTTATCATGTCTTGAACACCATTAGAATAATTTAACTCAGGGATATATACTGTAGGTGGTTTCAATTTCAGCATTTTTCCTGTGATGAGATTTCTTCATTTGTGAGGCAAATATGGTAGAATTATCATTAATCACACCTTTGAC